CATGTCAGAATTTGGCGATTTCAACGCCCGATGAAGTATTTCTATAGTACTTTCTACTCGATGTTTTCTACGATAAAAAGGAACATTTATATAATTTTAGATTTATTTCTGATTGCGAGAGATTAATTCTAAATTTAATTAAAGGCATAAAATTGATCGTTTTTGATAAAATAATACAAATTTGTAAATAATAAATTATTTAAATTATAATCAAGGTAATCAGTAGTGAGAAATTGGAAATTCATAAGATAATTCATTAGATCCAGTTTAATGCTGCTAAAAATTTTATTGCAATTGTTCGAGGAATATGAAGAAAACTGTATCAAGTACGGATAGAACGACATTCGACAGACGCCCGTAGCAGCATAAGAGGGCATTCGCTACGCTCTCTCGTGCCGCGATTTGTCCGCTCAATTTCACGGCCCTTTCGGGAAAAATGGGAAAATCTCTCCTCTTGGCCGCGGCAACGAGTGTGGGAAATAGACCGCGTTATTCTCCCGCGGTTGACTCTGCGACACGCCCATGGCGAACGCGCCGATTAAAACGTTCCTTTCAGTCTTACGCTCGCCGGTAACGAACGGTTTAATGCCAGCGAATAATCATAGGGGATTGTAGTTTAATTCAATTACAGTATATTTGAGTTGATGAGAAAAAGACACAAACAAAAACTGCGTGCGCGCATGCAAGCGTGCTACGCGTGATATAAAATTAAATAAATAACAAAAATAATAATTTGAAATTTTTTTGTTCATGTGGAATTATTACAAAGGTATCAAATAGCTAAGTTTATATATTTTCATAATCTTTTCTTCAAATGATATTTCCAGATTATTCTTAAATGAGAAAATATTATACCATAGTGTCATCAGTGATTTATTTAGTGCGGTTATAATAATACATTCTTATTCCTGAAATAAATTTCAAACCTCTTTTAAGTGATAATTTGATTTTGTGATTTAGTTTCTCTCTATATCTGTATTTGTGTAATATAACCGAATTTTCAAATATATTTAATATATATTAAATATTAAGGATATATAAATTTATATATTAGAGATTATTTAAGTGTTTAATATAAAGATTATATATGTTTGAAAATGAACAAAAAATATGAAACTATTGGACTAAATTTAATTAGAAATTTGGAATACTTTACATATTATCATATCATCAATGATCAAGTTATTAGTAGTTCTTCTTTTAATATCTTCAGTATCTTCCAAACATGCAATCATTGAAACTATCAATTTTTGCAATAAAGAAGTAATATAATATAATTTTTTTTATAACTAGAAATAAAAAACATATATTAAGAAAGGAATAAAAATTTTATGTAAAATTGCTTAATAAATTGATCAGACATTTTTATACCATAATTTTTCTTAATATAATTACTTTCTCATTGAGTGGCTTTTGTGAATTTCTTGAATATCTCAAAAAGATCTCTTGTTAGAGTTCTAATGTTCTTTAAATATTGAAGAAATTTAAATATTTTTACTTCAAAACATTATAAATGTAACGTTAGAAAGCGATCGAGTTCAAAAATTGATACATTTGTTCCCCCTATCATCGATAAGCTCGCAGAGTGTCCTCGATCGACTAATTTGTCCTTTGCGACGATGATGCAGTCGAGGCCGCTGTCACCGCCGCAATCTCGGGATCGCCTTCCGGAGCGCGTCCGCGGCACGATTATTAGTTTTCCGCCTCTCCCGGAAACCGTCGGCTCGTTCTCATCGACCGCAAAGGACGTGGTAACGTCGCCGTCCACCGCCCGTCGTACGTTACCACGCTCTATAGGGGAGAATCGCTCTTTCCGCGTCCTCCGGGTAGGCGTGGCTGCGTCGGAAGAGATGATTTATCCCTCGCGCGAGGCGCAGTAACTGCCGAGATCGCCGGCTAAACGACCGCGCCGGTCCTTTTCGTGTATTAACCGTAATGCACTCTGCCTTGCCATTGTGTACACTGTATACGATCCCGATCCCCCCTCTTCTCCCTCTCCCACTTTGCTCCTTTGAGCCCCCTTAACCCCCCCTTGCAACCATCGCCGACAATCTTTCGTTTTTTTTCCATCTCTCATCATCTTCTTCTGTATCATTCTAACATTCTTGTTGAATATTATTATTTACGAAAGATATGTATTTCGCAAAAAAAAAATACAGAAAAGTTATTTTATTGAGATTATCTTTATCGTAACTTGTTTTATTTTCAAGTATTCTTTGGTTTTAAGAGACTAAAATTTATAGCTAATACACTATTATACTGTTACTTTATATTGTCGTCTCAGATATGATTTATTTTTTTATTATGCAGCAATATGTTGCATGAATCTAGAAATGGTAAGATTATATATTTCATTATGATACGGAATGTACAAGTATAATGTTTATGCCGTTGTATATATGTTCTTATTTTTATGATCTCCTACAGATCTTTCATAATATATTGTAAAGAAAAAATCGTAGTGTTAAAAAAAGAAAACTTTACAATATTTATTATTGTCTTAAAAAATATCAATATATTAAGAAAAAAATGCATGATTATTAAATTTGGTAGCTCTCGTTGATGTTACGTATTATTTACGTGTTCTCGTTACTTACCTAAACAGAAAAGATCACCTGTCATCGATTACCGCGCCGGGAGAGACTCGGCGCTCGGCGTATTTCCATCGCGTTTCCGCATCAAAAGTCACGGCTGTCCCGAGTCAAAGGAGGCTAAATCGAATTAGCCGGCTGACACATTGACGTGTTTTGCATCGTGTATCGTCCTACAGTTGCAGCGGTCCGGCCGAACCCCGGCATATGGGGTCACGCCTACGAGGTGAACGAAGGAAAGGGGGGGCCTCGATTTCGGTCGTGGATCCCTTTCAGAGCGGGGGCTCGGGGCCCGCACGCGCCGCGCAGCCTGCGAAAATGCGCAATCCGCCGATTTGGGACGACGACGAGGTGATCCCGTGGGAGCACTGGAAGCGCCCGATGAGTCGACCCGGGGCGGCCGGTCCCCCCTCGAGAACCGCGACGAAATTGTCAAAACAAGGCAAACGCGGGAGCCCTCTCGATTAGGCGATCTCCGCCATCGACCGAGTCGGCAGAGTCGAAGATCGACAAACCAACTTGGAATACGGAATCTATTATTCAAAGCCCGTTACGTCAATAATGCTGTCAATAATCTGGGAATCCAACCTCCTGATTTAAAATTCGTTACGTCACGTTGCAGATTTTCAGAGATCTTGTACGCTAAAATGCGTCTCCGACGGATCATTTACGAGTCTAGCACTCGATCTTCAAAGCTCAGTTATATGCTTTTCCGATTTTATTGCAACAATACAATTCGTATAAACTTTCCTTACTATGTAAACATTTTTGAGTATACCGAGAGGCTATGTGTGTAAGAGTGCCGCTTTTCTAACGAGCCGGTCCTCCTTGATCGTACAGTCACAGTTGTGCCGGGTGGGCAATATATAAGGTATAATATAGGAGGCACAAACGATATATATTTCGGATTACAGTCGCACGTTTTATTGCCGACACGATATTACAACGTATGCAAGTCTATAGTCCGACATTTTGTGCGCTTCCGCCTCATATATTGTAATGTTTCGCCGGTGTAAGTGCAGCTGGAATGATCGCACGGCTGATCAATACGCGATATTCGCTGCCACGTAATAGTTGCCCCCGCCAAGCTGAAACCCACTGCTTAAACGTAAACTATCTACAGCAAGTACAAGCTACGGTGTTTATGCGAAGTTTACTATCTATACGTGTACGTGTATATATTTACAAACTTCCAGGACTTGCTATTTACAGTGCGCGCTCCGAGAAGTCGGAACCCTCGCTTTAGAAAAGGCTCAATTGCGCTTAAAGGGGGGAGCCCTGCGCCTGGTTTAGCACGCTGAAAAATTAGGTGACTCTTTTGGAATTTTTTTTTAGGATACTATTCAACCAATCCTTTTGAACTTTATAAAGTAATTTCTTATACTATTAACAAAAATATATATTTTTTGCCAAAAAAAGTATTTATTATGCAAGTAATAACAACATTTATTCGGCGGTGATGCGTGTTTGGCGGCGTACAAGATAACTCAAAAACTATTCATTCGATTGACTTGGGCCTTTGCACACATCTGCACAAATACTTCCCTAATAACTTGAACCACAGTTTATAATAATATTATTTAATTAAATAATTTTTATTGCATAATAAACACGAAAAATTTTTTATCAAAATCGCTACCTTTTTTTCCAAGTGTCACGATTTTCACAATTTCGCATTATTTTCTTTAAAAATAGGCTCAGTTGCGTAAATTTTTAATAAACAATAATCTTTTTGGATTTTTTATTTCAGACAAATACAAGCGACGCTACATTGCACGCCGCTCGTCGACGTGCCGAATAAAAAGTTATTATTACTTGCATAATAAATACTTTTTTTCTGGCAAAAAAAATATTTTTTCTTAGTTTAATAGTATAAGAAATTACCCTATAAAGTTTAAAAGAATTGGTTGTAGTTTTCTAAAAAAAAATTTTCAAAAATCATCTAATTTTTCAGCGTGCTAAATCAGGCTCCCCCCTTAAGATATCGAATTCATCAAGGTGTATTCGGGATTTTCGCGTATTCAGAAGATTTGAATCGAGAAAAAGAGAATTAAGCAGAGAGAATGCTAATAGATCTTGAAATGACTACACGCAATGATCTGACTTAAAAAAAAAATTGTTCAATGATCATTACTCTCTTAATTGTCTCAGTGAGCAACATACAGCTTGTAATAGGAAAAAAAGTTATGCGAGACAAAGAGAAGGTTTATGTTTATCTTCTTATAATGTTTCACATTTGTCACAGCTGCTTTTAAACCTTTGATCGACACTATACATTCAATTATACATAACGAGAACTCGACTTCATCATATCACGCGCGCGTTACACACCGATTATCGATCTACACCTCCATCTGTTCCTTTCGTGTCCCACCGTCGGATATCCAAGTTCATCGTCCACGACGTTCACTACCTCCCGGAGGAGCCGAGACCGGCTCGATGCGCCGGCACCGCGAAGGCCCTCAGACCACCCCCGACCCCGATCTCCACCCCCATGCCGGCGCCCAGAGGCGGCTGCACCTGACCCGTCAGACTCACTGATGTATTCACTAGTCCCAGGGCATCGCCCAGCACCGACGCCGCTCCCGAGGACCCACCCTCGCCCGAGGGCGGCGTCGGTCTCGCGCGCGGCGCCCTCGCGCACTTCTCCAGGTGATGGTGATGCGACCTGACCGCCAAACGGCTCACGTGCACCGGTATCGGCACCACGATTCTGGTAGCGGAAGCGTGCTGCCCCGTGACACCGTTGTGGCGGCCAGAAGCGCCGGATGGCGTCATGGCCGCCGCCGCCGCCGAACCGACGCCGACGCCGCCGCCGCTCAGCCCGGCCTTCACCCGTTTCCATTTGGCACGTCGGTTCTGGAACCAGATCTTCACCTGCGCCAGAGTTGTATCATTGATTTTAAAGTTATGTAAGCTCGCTTGATAGAAAGGAAGGAAAAGAGTTATTCAATATACATACACATGTGGGTGTGACAAATAAAGGAACTAAAATGCATTTAAGGAAATTCGAGCTTGTAACACTGGTCATCTAATTTTATTGTATATAATATTAAAACTATACCGATGATTAATTTCTATTATTTAAGTATATTACACCTAAAAAATAAATTGTACTTATATAAGCGAGGAATTCTTAGCATTTTCTTTATGAAAAAATCTTAATCATGAAGCATCTTTCTCTAGAACGCGTATTCGTCTATAAAAAAGTAGACGTATGAATTATCAAGACTGTGACCAAGAATTATACGATATTCTTATATACATTTTAAAATATCTTTTTAAGGCTGAATATGAGAAAAAATCTTCTAGATTCAAAAGGGATAAGGATAAAAATTTTTGGGGGGTATAGCGAATTCGGTTGGATACACATCACATTAAAGCCATTGTACACAAATTGATATAAGAATATGTGTTTAATATAAATATAAAAACGGTTTAAATCACAATCCCCAATATCACTTTATTGTATTTGTTATAAAATATTTTCAAAATATTTACACTTTACATTTGCATCAGTGTATAACGGCTTTAATACGTACCAGTATACTCTATATGTACACGGAAAGAACAATTTTGCTGAATCCAAATCTGAAAATAATTTTTGTTCAATAGTCAAAATTATTTTGTGCAAAAGTCAAAATGATTGCTAGAATATCAAAACGTTTTATAGCAATACTTATCAGTTTTAACATTCCAACAAATTATTTTGATAATTTAATAAAAAATTATTTTCAGATCTGTTTTTAGCAAAATTTTTAGATCTTTCAACAAAATCGTTCTTTCCGTGTATATATTAACAAAAAAGAATGAAGGAGGAAAAGCAAATTAATCAATTTAATCATTATGTATATATTACAATTCAAAATATTATAGAAAATTGCAGAAAAATGCAATATAAATTTGAACAATTTAAAAAAATTACAAACCAATCGTTTTAATTGCTTTGATAGTTCTATAGTATTAATAAATTTTAATATTTCTATACAAATGAATTCTCTTTCTTAGAATTGCAATGTTCGGTTTCTTTTTCAAGATCTTAACTTGTTTTGTAAGTTTTAATTAAAAAAAAAACATATATGATTTAACTCTCGATATTAAGTTCTGTACAACTGATTGATTATCGCGTTAGTTTGGCACTGACCTGCACCTCCGACAGTTTCAACGCGTGCGCTATGTGCGAGCGCTCCGTTAGGCTCAGGTACTTCTTGGCGTGGAATTCGCGCTCCAGCTCGAGCAGCTGTTCCGAAGTAAACGCGGTACGTCGCCGGCGAGCTTTGTTGCCACCGGCACCCGATGCTGACGAATTCTGTCCGTTCTCTAAAGGCCTGCTAGGACTTGCGGCGGCATTGCCGACGCCGCTGACGACGCCGTCGGAAACGTCGTGACCCTCGCCGGAACCTGCGGCTCCGCCACCCTCTTCGTCGCTCTCGGCTGATGCACGGCCGTTCTCAGAGCCTGGGACATATAATTATATTATGAAACACCTGACAATCTTTCTTTCGTTTGCGCATAAAATTCTATAATTAATAGAATAAAACATAATGTAACAGAGAATATATTTGAAAAGGAAATGATGATTTGCGAAACTTCGTGCTGGTGAGACAACATGTGATGAGCGCTTGTAAGTATATAGGCCGTTGATGCACGAAAAGAACGATTTTGCTGCTTCAGTAAAATGTGTACAGATTTGAAAATATTCTAATTCTTGTTGAACCATCAAAATAATTTTGTTGGAAAGTCAAACTGATTGCTAAAATATTAAAACATTTTTAGCAATGTTTACCATTTTTGACTTTCCAATAAAATTATTTTAATGATCCAACAAGAATTACTTTCAGATCTGTATCTTGTCAGCAAAATTTTTAGACCTTCCAGCAAAACCGTTCTTTTCGTTGACGATCAAATCAGTATATACACGAAAAGAACAATTTTGCTGAATCCAGATCTGAAAATAATTTTTGTTCAATAATCAAAATAATTTTGTGCGAAAGTCAAAATAATTGATAGAATATCAAAACGTTTTATAGCAATGCTTATCAGTTTTAACATTCCAACAAATTATTTTAATGATTCAATAAAAAATTATTTTCAGATCTGTTTTTAGTAAAATTTTTAAGCGGTTCAACAAAATCGTTCTTTCCGTGTACAATGATTGACCAATATTATACGACACGAGAGATCGCAGAGATAAAACGTATCTCAAAAGACCGTTATGAATCACATGCTTGACTATGTGTTTCTCTCTTTTAAAACCTGAAATAATTTGACTTAAAAATACGAAATCCCTTTTTACTCAATCCAACACGGAAAGAACGATTTTGTTGAAAGGTCTAAAAATTTTGCTGAAAACAGATCTGAAAATAATTTTTTGTTGAATCATCAAAATAATTTGTTGGAATGTTGAAACTGATAAGCATTACTATAAAACGTTTTACATTCTAGCAATCATTTCGACTATCGCACAAAATTATTTTGATTATTGAACAAAAGTTATTTTCAGATCTGGATTCAGCAAAATTGTTCTTTCCGTGAAGTGTTTAGTAAAATTGATTACGTTTATACATTCCGTTAGTCATGTGCATTGTTCAATTGCTCCTTGTAAGCGTGAGTAATGAAAAATATAATTCGTTTCTCGAATTAAAACATTATTACCGCGATTAAATGCATAAACGAAGCTTGTATAAGAGCGAAATAACAATTGCATTCAATATTCGAAATGTATAGTCGTCAGATAAAACTGCACACAATTCCGAGGATTGAAATCCACGGCTAACTTTCGCGACATTAAGTCATCAACGGAGTTTATCGCTATCGGGAGAACATCGCCGCGGTATGTATAGCCCGGCGGCTATTTAATATGCGGAGCAGATTGGTCGTTCCTTCATAAAAGTTGCGTTCTTCGATCGTCAGCGAACGTTTTCCCGTTCTCGTAATTTCCCGTACAGCGTTTTTTTCCCCCTTCATCCGCGAGACAGTCGAGCGCGGCATGCAATATGCACCGAGATACGAAACAAAGTTACCACCGAGTTTGATGACTCCGTCGGTTCATTATTTATTGAAAATTATTCCTCTACAGCGCGGTTATAAGTTCCACTCGAATGGCTCGCGTTCGACTGATTCGACGGTCGACGGGATGGGAACGGAAATTTGCGTCAACAAATGTCCACGAGGGAAAAACATTTATCGAAGATTACTTTTGGTATCGACATTGGAAAAAAAAAACTTTTATATAAAGAAAACTGAACGACAACTTCATTTCGAGCCAAAAATACCTCAGGAATTTCCAAAAGGGTTTTCCAAATAAAGAGAACTAATTAATTTGTTTCTCTGTAATAGTTTCGAAATCGATAAATAGCACAGTCTATATTTATTAAATTTGTTAAAATAAAGCGCATTAGTAATACTAACGCGTGATATATGTAAATTGTAAATGCGCTATTTGAAAAAATATTATGGCAGACATGAAAGATCCAACCGAGATAAATTAACGTGAATTGAAACTTATAAACGTTGTAATACACGTCTCTCTTGGAAATGATATAAATAGAGTTGTATAGGCTTCTTCTCGCGCGTTGTATTTTCTCGAGTCACCGCACGTGATCAGCACAACTTTTCCCACCGCAACGTGGCCAGGTCGCATGATCAAGAGCCGCGCGGTCGTTATTTGCGGGCGCATTATTTCCTGCTAAAGTTCGTTGTCAACGGTCAACTCGGCTATGGTCAGCCTGATTTATTCATCGGCCGCGATTCGCGTCTTTCTTATCCCGAAGTTCGCGCGGGCCGCGCGCTTACGGGTAGCGGCGCAACTTTTCTCCGCGTCGCCCGCCGCCGCGGTTTGATGCACTCTCCGGTCTCGTGTTGATTTATTCAGAGGGTTTCGATTAGGCGTGCGGAACGCTTCCGCGAGCGTGCACGGGCGTTGTCCCCTGCCCGCCGTCTTTACACTTCGCGGCGGAATCGAGCGTGCGGATCGATCGATCGCGCGAGAACGATGTCGTTACATCCTCGTTTAGCGGCCGCTTCGGCGCGGCGAGGCTTTTTTAAAGTCGTACTTTTCTAAGCGAATAGAGTTATTTGGAGCGAGGCTATAACCCGAAACTTAAACAAGACATTGGAATCATTTTGTTTTCTTTGAAGCTGCAAAGCAATTAATTTGACTCTTATAGCGAGTATATAGCGAGAAGGCGACAAAAGTTTAGTGAATGAGCATGTGATACGAGCATAGAGAAAGATTCAGTTTTTTTTCAATCGAGACAAAGAAATCTCTGATACAAAGACAAAGAATCAAGTAGGGTTCAATGAAATACATCCTAATATTAATTTAATATATAATTTAAATCGCGCATCACAAATTTTATTTTTCTAATTTAAATGGTTGATTAAATGGAAAATATTGTAAAAAGAATATTAACTTTTAATTTGCGTTAAAAGCGATTTTTTGCAACATTAAATCTTGCAGATATTCTAACGGAGATGTGTATGGAAAAATTTCTATTGTGGTACAACAATTAAGAGAATAATAATACATGAAGTCGTTTAACTTTCGAAAAGTAGAGTAATTTGCTTACTCTAATCGATTAAGTTGCAAATTTATCAGCCAATTATACGAACACGCAACAGATTAATTGGGTCGCGGCATCTTTATCGATTTCACCCCACGAAAAGCTGCTGGTATCTGTATCCAAAGTAATATTAAAATATTATTGATTCGTCGTGCATAATAATAATCGGTGAAAATAGTTGGCATGTACCGGAGAGCTCATGTTTTATTTAATCGCTGGCAAATGGCAATTATTGAAATCTGTCAATGACGGAGCAGCCGGAAATCAAATCATTTAACGATCTTCATCGCCGATTCACCGCCGGTGAATCACCGGTCGTTCATGTCTGATTAATTTTCGCAATCTATTTAATTCTCCTGTTTCCATTTTATCAATTGCTTGTTTGTCAGCTGATTTCCGATATTTTCTTTTTGTTTAGGAGAGAAAGAGAAGGAAGGAGAGAGAGAGAGGGAGAGGGAGAAATTTGAATTTTTAATATATCTTTATATAGATATAATAATTAATATATTAAAGATCTCTGTTACGTCCGGTGGACTCCACGATTTCTCCGTTCGCAAACGTTAGATAAGGGACTTAGAATAAAATAAAGCTTATTGGTCATCAATTGGTGAACAAACATCGACCCAACGAGATCGACCGTTGTCTGTCTCCTTGGGAAGATTTATTTCGAGAAAACATTTTATGAAGATTTATTTCAAATTATCGGAACAAACAAGAGAAATTTCTAACAGAAGAATTTCGAAAACAGATAAAAACCT